GTGGACTCTCTTTTAATGTGGCATCAACTATGCGAGAGTTATTTTTTTTTCCAACCATATTTTGCGGTCGGCTCAACGAACTTCTTGTGGTTGTTGTATACTTATCGGTCGGTCGTTGGTTTTACGATACTTTTACACTTTCAACATTACAACTGGGCGAGGATATTGACATGTTTAGATGTCGTTACCTATTTACCTTTCGGATCGTAAATCATAACGCGTGTGCGGTGTGCGTAGTTATTAGCGACAGCGTACACAGCACGGACAGCAACAGCAACAGCTACAAATGTATCTTGTAGATACATGCTCTATATATATATATATATATATGTGTGTGTATATGTTTAAGGGAGAGTGTTGCTGTTGCATTGTTTGCCAGCTGAGTGGTGGACGGGCTGACTGTTTTGGTATCTTTATAGATTTACAATGCCCAATTTTCGTCTACTTGGGAGAAGTTGAAAGATATATGACAGGCGTTGAGCGCATATTCGATGAGTTGCCAATGATTACGACGTGTGCCATAAATATTTCATAAATATTGCTCTGATTTTCGTTGCGACAATTTGTTATTGATCAATAATGTACGAGTGCCAAAGGTAGCTAGCACTGTTAGCGACAATCGATACACTGAACGAAAATTCTCAAATTAAATTAAACTATATATTAATTAAATTAACTATTCATGTAAAACACAAAAATTGATATGCAAGTTATTTAAATGATTATATTGATATAAAATTAATTGGCCTGATCTAAACAAATTGAAGACCAGCACAATTTAGAGACTTCTCTCAGTGTAGGCGTATTGGTAGTGCCTCATTTTAAGGCTGTTCAGCTCGAGTCGCTATGTGAATGCCCTACAATGAATACACGCGTTGAGCCTTAGGGCTAATCATTTCTTTTTGCTTCGATTGTTGAACCACTTCAGATTATAAACAAGGCAGTCATCGTGATTGCTTTGGGAATTAGTTTAGTAAAGCTTCTCGAGTTCCGAACAATTCTCTGAGATATCTGGTGCAGAAAGGCAGCTGGTCCTTGGAGTCGCCTATGGCCTGGCTTCGATATTGTGTTTATTTTCATGAATTTACAACAATTTTCGATGCGTAAATTTTCCAGATAGTACGGCCCGTTGCCGTTTAGACACCCAAACACCAAACACTTGGCTCTGATTAGAGAGCTCTTGACTCTGTGCCGTCGGTTGGCAATGGATCGATTTATATGTATATATTCGATAGGATATTTCGATTGCTTTTAATTGATTCGAATCGCCGTTCAATTGTTTGGTGTGATTGAAAATGGCTTAAGAATTTATTGTAGAATTTATATCGCCCCAACCATAACGCCACATACTCATCTAATCTGTACATATACACATAAATTATATGTATATATCAATATCAATGCCCAAATACCGATCACATTTCTCACTGATATCATTTGGCAAGCATGCGCAGCTGTCGTTGTTGTTGTTGTTGTTGTCCCTGATCATTAGCCCAAATGAATCAGTGCGTGAGGTTCTATGATTAGACCATTTGATCTCTGACTCGTGCTCGACTCATCGTCTAGCTGGGCCTCCCTCTTAAGTAGTTTGTCGGGGGCGACTGTCCGAGAGCCGTGGGCAATTTTAATTTAACTTAATTCGTGACTCACTTTGCGCTACGGTAAAACGTAACCCATTGACAAAGTTTTGCTATCTTTTTCTATTAATTGAATGAGGCCGGACCGGACCGGGCCGGGCTGGGTTAAAAAACTTCGGGTTGGTGTTGATCCATTTGGCGCATGCGACAATTTAAATTGTTGTCTTGGCACAATGGGAAATCGAGACGGAAATTATTTGTGTATATGACCTTTGTTCTTGCCAGTTTAGGCTATGCTAATTAATGCGACAAGCTTAGGAATATTTATTGTTGCAGCAAACGATCTAAAGATATATTTAATCTTCCTTCGCTTGAAAGTTAATATAAGTTTAAAAAAAAACTAGGTTTCTGTATGGCATATATGATCAGATCTTTTGAGTTGTGAGCTCTTGAACTTTTGAACTTCAACTTATGAATAGGGTTCTTGGTACATTATAAAATCGTATATAATTTTCTCTTAGAACTGTGGAATATATCTAACTAGAACTTGAGAGTTTTTTTTTCAAGCACCTACAAGAAACTAGTCTAATCAAAAATTCATTCAAGTGCTTCAACTTTTGTTTTAACTATGAAAACAATCGTCTGGGTGTATTTCCGGAATTCTCAAGCGTAAACTAAGTGCGCATGATACACAAACAAAATTAAAGCGAATTTAATCACATTTCCTGCGCAAACCGTTGAGATTTTTTGTGATACTTATTTTTACCCACATGGAAGGGGTGGGAAGGGGCGGTGGGGTCGCACACAAGATCCAAAATCCTGGCGATGATTGTGCAACGGCGACAACTCGACAGGAGTGGCCAATCAGTCAACCCGGCGCATGGGGGACACTCAGGAAATTGCGGAAAGCTGCTTCGCCAATATTTTACCAAAAAAAATATTTCAACAAACAAAGCGAAATACATTTTTACGAGAGGGCAACAAAAAAGAACTCGGAGAAAAACCCAACAACACGAAAAGTAAACGCATAGAGAATGTGGAAAATGGCGAACAGAAAAACGGAAAGTGGAGAATGATAAAAAAAAAAAATGTGGCGCGCCAAACGGAATTGAAAATTCTGCACAGCACGGAGTGGTGTGTGTGTGTGTGTGTGTGTGTGTTTGGGCATATCCATGTCTGTGCCGGGCTCAAGCTGCGGAGCTGAAAACATATCCGCTGGATACATGTAATGCCGGTAAATGAAATCCGCTTGTCGCTGGCTATGTGTGCGTGTGTGTGTGTGTGTGTGTGTGTGTGTGAGTGTGTGTGTTTCAGAGCATGGCCGTGCGCTTGCACACTCATTCATTCATTCATTCAATGCTCATATTTGAAATTCAACTGCGATGGCGACGACAACGACCAGATATACACACACACACACACACGCACACACACACACACACACGGTTGTACACACCATATGCCTGCTGTCTGTATCTGTATCTATGAGTTTGTCCGTTTGGCTTGTCCGTGCGCACTCGTTTCCGTATCTGTGGTTCGCTATGGATTTTTCAATCCCCGATATCCATTTGTCCGCCATGTCCACACGGAAGATTTGCACATTAAGCGCCCAACACACACACACACATACACACACACAAACGGAATAATGAATATTTTCAGCACTGCCCAGCACCCCCACACCGTACCCCGCCCCGCCCCGCCCCGCACCGACCCGTTCGGACAGCACACATAACAATTTTTTTCAATTAATCTGACATTGTTCTGGGCCCGCTCGTCGGCGGCTTTTGGCCAACGTCGAGTGCCTGTTGGCGATTGTCAGAATTGCAATATTTTAAAATCACACATTATTCAAATAATTTTTGAAACATTTCGCTAAAATGCGCGTGCGTGTGTGTGAGTTATCTGGCAATATTTTTAATTAACTTGGGAATATGAAATGCGGCATTTGGGAAAACCAGCTGACGGCCCAGCATGGCCTGTGGTCTGGGATAAAGCTCTGCCCACATTGGCATTAAACAGAATTTGGTGCAAAGCTTAAAAAAATTGTATATAAAATTTAAATACGAAGTTGCATTCTTTAATACGTACGTTTGTCTAAGAGCCAAGCCAAATAATTTTTCAGGGAATTATTTTGTCAAGCTAAAAAGTTTTCAAGCTTATCAATTTTCATCAAGTTATTTGAAAAATACAAATTTTAAATTTTGTAAGCATGTATACTCCGAAAATAAGGTTGACATCCTTTTTGATACAGGGTATGTATATTTACTAGCCCCAACTATCTCAACAAAAAGTCAGTCATAGCCCATTTGGAATTTAAAATTTCTTAAGTTAAATAATATATAGATTCAATTTGGAATAAATTTTCAAATAAATCTCAGCTACATCAAATCTATTGACAGGATATGTCTTAGTCGAGCACTTGTTTGTTATTCTTTTTTTTTATATACTCGCCTTTATTTCTTTTTGTCATCTGCATAAATTGTTAGGTAAATATTGTGTCTGCGCCTGATCTTAGGTTCAAGGGTAACACTTGACTTGATTGGATTTTTCTTTACATATTTTGAAATTTTCAATGTTGCGACAGCTCAGACACTATCTATATGAATATTCATGGGCCTGTTCAGAGATTGTTTATCGAGATAGTTACAATATCTAAAATTTAAATTTAAATTTTCAAATTTTGTGAGAGAAGAAAAAATGTGTGTGCCAACTGTCCCAACGAATCTAGTTAGTTATATATATGTTAAAATGAAATTATAGTTAACAGAATTTAATTAAAATGTTTGAGTTGCAAAGTTGCTCACACTAAATCTAATCACTGGCTATCCCTAACTGCTAACTTTAAGCGGAATGCATTTTGTGGCATTTGGGCAAATAAAGCAAAGAATTCAGTAACAAAAAAAAATATATATGTATATATATATGTACATACATATATATAGATACACAAATATATATAGAGATATACAGAAAATGTATTACTTATATTGTATAACATATATGGATATATATATATTTTGTATATTATGGGTATATTAAAAATATATTAGAATTGCCAACTCATAGAAAGTTTTCGATAATCTATCAGATTTATCATAAACGGACATTGTTAACGACTCTGCGCCTTTTCATCTTTAAAGCTTTAACTTGTTGCGAATTACAATTGTGAAGCTTCGAAAAAAAACTTAAAGTGAAGATACTAGAGTAAATTTTTTGTATGTTCTATCACATTCGCACCATTCACATAGAGAAAAAAACCTTAAGTCAATTATTTATATAGACTTCTTTCGGATGATTGTTCCTTTGGTTATAACGATATGTAAGGGCATGTACTATTCGGTTAGTTTGCATGTCTTTTGACACTTCACTGAGGTGCATACGATTCGGAAGGATGCTCTCTTATCTGTATCTTTAGCTTACCGTCGGTGTTTCGCTTCTTGGGCAGCACCGCCTTGAAGGCGGACATGGGCGCGTAATCATGTGGCGATATAGCCGCCGGCGGCAATTGCTGCTGCTGCTGCTGCTGCTGGTGCTGTTGATGATGTGCATCCACCGTGATTTGGGCCGGTTGCATGCGCTGGTGCAGCAGCTGCGTGGGTGAGGGTATTGCTGCCATTGTGGTCAAGGTGCTGAGATCGCGCACCTGCAGCGCGGCGCTTGACGTGGCGGTTGAGGGCGATGCGGAGGATGCGGAGGGGCTGGCGCCAAAGGGGCCGCCGGGAAAATCAGCTGCAATGGCGGGCTTAAAGTTGCCCAAACTATAGTCGATGGGCAGGTGGTGCTGTTGCGCCGGCGGCGGCGGCGGCGGACCAGCGGATGCGGCCGGATGCAGCAGATGCTGATGCTGGCCAGGCGCTTGCATCTTGCCAACGTTCATGAGTTGAGTTTTTTGTTTGTTTTTGGCTTTTCTTTTCCTTATTTTTTTTTTGTTTGTTTTTTTTTTTTTTTTGATAAGTGCTCGTAAACGTTTAAAAGCTTTGGCGTGGCACACGCTACGGCATGGGCAGCGAAAACGGCAGCGGATACGGATGTGGGAGCTCGGTAAACGGAAACGGATTTACACGCGCGTTCAACAGAGGCAACTGTTACGGAACAGATTTCTTTTGGCTTTTATCAGCCATGCAAGCAGCTGCTGGCCTGTTGTATAACTGTTGTGTTCGGCGTCATCGAGCGGACTAAAACCGTAAAAGTTAATCACGGTCGGTCGCTGGGCGCGCAGAGTTGGAAGTCATGGAACGCGTCTGGCTGACGCCGGCGCTAGCTGAGGCTGACGCTGAAGCTGAAGCTGAGAGTGTGAATCTGGCGGCTGATTGAAACAACAGCAGCGGCAGTGGCAGCGGCAGCAGCGAGTGCCTGCACTTGACACGCCACGCCGCGCTGTGGTGGGTTGGGGTGGGATGGTAGCTGGAAGGGTGCTGAGGGGGCTGCTGGTTGTGCTAGCTTATCGCAGCACGCAAATTCAACGACTATTCCAATTGTTGCGATTCCGATTTCCCAGCCAAGATTGGAAGAAATCAAGTTGGGCGTCGACGCCAACGCCAACGCCAACGGCGACAGCGACGTCAACGACGACAGCGGCAGCGGCAGCGACAGCGACAGCGAAGTTAGCGCCAGCGAGAGGCTGCGAGAGCAAAAAGAACAACTAAAACAAATGCTCGCACTCGTTGGCTTTAGTTGCGGTTACAGTTATTCAGCATGTGTGAACTGAGCGAGCGACCGCACCGAAACGAACCGTCTGTGCGCCACAAAGCACAGCGACTGACGAACGAAAGCAGAAACAACGACAGCGACAACGATAACGACAGCGACAGCGGGAACGACGCGCTCTGGCGTTCTCTGCTTTGATAAGCGTGTGACACCCACCACCACCAATGACTTGTGCGAGCGAGACGGCTAGCTGAAGTATGCATTCCAGTTGGAATCACAGCTGGAATTCTGTGTTGGCCACCACCATTGCTGCATAGGCGCGCTCACTCGCACACACGCATCGCGTTCGTCGACAGCTGCTGCCCGTCCTGGTCGCACACGTTGGACAGCCTGTTGATTTTTTGGGCTACGCCCAGTTTCCAGAACGTCACGCTTAATCTGGATTTGGTATTGCCCTGGTGCTTGTTGTTGGTATTTTTAGTGCGCATACCGCTTTGATTCGTTCAAATCAATGCGCCACTCACGGGCCAAGGGTGTGGGAATAGGCGCGTGCAGCGTGCGGGAACGGGGCCGGGGCCGGGGCCGGGGCGGTATTGCGATGGGGTTTGTTTGGGTCGCCTTTGGTTTTCCGTTGGGCTGGTCCTCCATGGCCATCATGATTGCCACACAATGTGCTGTAATCGCCGTTGTCTTTCGCCTCAGCGTTCCATTTTCTAATTTCAAGTGCTTTCCGGCACCTCACTCAAGTGCCCTCATTCACAATTCATTCACCCCCCTCTACCGCTCCACCACCCAATAACTTTGCGACTTTGACTTGCCACTTGGCAATCCCTTACGGCTCAACAGTCCAATTCAAGCGTAGTTGCCAGCAAATCGATCGCCAGTGCTTTGAATTGTTAAAAGCCAAAGAGCCAATGGCAGCTGCCTGTCAGAGTAAAAAGAGTGAGGCAAGGAAATGTCAACTGAAGAAGAAAATCATTTGTATTTGGCCAACATCACAGCAAGCTGTTTTCTTTTTATAATTCCCGAAGCCATGTAATATTCCTATGTATTTATGAATGAAAATCAATTATTATCATAATTAAATTCAAAGGGCGCTCAATTATCAATGAGTGAGGGGCTGGGAAATCGAAAAAAAAACGTTTTTCCAGTTAAAATGATCGTATTAGTAGTATATTTTCTTAAAAATTAAGAAACGAAGAGCAAAATATTTAGAGAGAGAGAGAGAGAGAGATAAAGAAAGATAAGGCGAGAGAGATGCTGACTCGAATCTTATGTACTAAGGCTGCAAGCCGGCTTTAAACCAAACCGGTTCGAACCTTGACCAAAAATAAAATCTAAAAATATTTGCGTCCTGCAATATTTTCAGTAGAACGGGCAGCAATAAATTTAAAAACAAAATATGACTATTTCATACGAATTATCTAAGTATACGAAAACAAGCTTTACGAACCGAACCCCAAGGCGGGGAGTGGGTTTGAACCGTGAAACAAACTGCCCACAATTTTTCTTTGGACTTGCAGCACTGATATCAAATGTTTCAGGATCGAAAAAGTATATTTAAGCCGTAATTCAAGTTGTGAGCTTGCGCCTTGATCCTATTTTTTTGGTAATCTGCGTCGGAGGTAATGAAGCCTATAAAGAGTTGATAGAGTTGCCAGACTATTAAAAGCTGTTGCAGTCTGTTCACAAATTGAAAGCGAGTACTTTGTCCAAATGAACGAAACTATTCTCGACGCTATTGTGGCTAAAGTTACAAGGAAGGTGCACTAGCTTTTACTGAGTATTAATTTTCTTTGCTTCTTAAATGCACGCATGTCTATTTATTAAAGAATCCTTAAATTTTGATCAAATTTTGTTGAAAAATGTCGCAAAATTAATTTGAGCCAACGCATTTAAATGGAATCGCGTCAGTCTTTTGCATGTCAGCCAGATTTGAGATTGTCTAATTGAGTCTTCAGCGACTGGGGAGTCGATGCAATCGGCTGCTGTGGCTCGGATGACGGAACCCATCTCGAAGAGCCACTTGCTGGGACACAGAGCAAACGCAGGCTAAATTTAGTGTGTAATTCTTGAAATCGTTGCCATGTGTTGCAGATGGCGCCCGATCCCAGCTGACACAAATATGTAATTCAGTATGTTTGTTGTGGCTTCAAGCGGAAGATCGGGCTCTGGGATCAGCGAAAAATCTGTGACGCAAAGTTGGCGGGAACGGGTGCTCATAACACTTATTTATGTGCATGTTGAAATGGGAGCATTAGTTCGCTGTGTTTGTAAATATTTGTCATAATTTGGGAGGGGAACCAAGCCAAACACATGCTATAGGGGCCGCTCGCGATGCCCAACTCTGCCCAACTTTGGCCCCCAAACTCGCAGACGTCTCGAGGTCTTCTATATTTTTGGGGTGCGTTTTTTTATTTTATTAAGTGTTGTTTCGTCGGGCTTTTAATGTCGCAATTAAATGCATGAGTTTTTAAAAATTAGATGCTTGTCAAAATTTATTATTTATGATGCTCGGAAAAGCTACTCGTCTGTGCATAAAGCTGTTCAGTCTCTAGAGCAAGACGTGCATCTATTTTCCCTACCATTTCCCTACAAATCTGTGACTTTCTTGCGGTCTGCCCTTCGCATTTGTTCCCACTTTAATGGTGGGATCACAAGTGAACTAATTTGTGGAATGTTAAGAAACTTAAGCATCTGAAACTTTTCGTCGATTTCGCTTCTCTTTTTATATACTATTCCATATGCTATACTTTAAAGTCGGTAAAGTTGTCGGGCAAACAAAAACCTAACCGAAATCCGAAATTTTTCTTCAAATTCAAAATAAAACAAAAGCAGGGGAGCTGGTTCTATTATGTCTAAACTGACAATAGGCAGATCTAAATATTCTATTGTCGATCTCAGAGATTAAATTGTGCATGCAGTTTCTAATAAAAGTATAATGTCAATACGGATGTCACATGCGGATCAAGCTTACATGAAGTATCTAAATGGTATATAGTTAAAATAAAATGAAATCTCACAGATAGTTTTAAAAATAATAAATGTTAATATTCTTAAGCAGAGCGTCACACTTAAGTATTTAGAAATTGTAAGATAATACCAAGAGTGCAGCTTATAATATCTGCTTATAACCTTTAGGCTATGCGATTGTCAATGATAAAGGGGATCCATTGCTCAGCAATTATTCGCAAAATTATGCAACGCGGCTATAAAGTAGCTGTAAAGTATATATATTACGCATACGCCACGTTATCAGCATGAAATCTGTATCCGTCACGGTGCAGATATTTTACTTAAGGCATAAAATAATGTGAAGTCTCATATGAAGCCATCTCAAGAAATGTCTTCCATTGGCTGGGCTCTGTGCATTTATGTAGGTGAACAGAAACTGTTCGATTGTGAGTTGTAAAGACTCAAATGAAGTTTTACAACTGCAGTAAAATATATTTTTGACATGAATTTTCAATCAGAATTTTAATAGCCCTTAATAATAACATGGCTATCAGTTATCAGGGCACAAAATCGGTTATCAAAGCAATTTTCGGTGCCAGAGAAACCTCAACCACAGCGGCATGCCCGACTAGGCACCATACCCTATTTCCATTCTCTCTCTCTCTCTCTACTTAGACTTAGACTAAAGGTTTTGTTCTCTTGCATAACTTCGGTGTGTATGGCCCGATCCTTACGAAATTTCCAGGGAATTAATATGGCATCCAAATATGTGTAAATTCAAAAGTCCAAAACTATGCCTCCATAAAGGAGGCGGGGGGATTCTGAATCTTTAAGTACTCTACAAGTAGCTACGCCCTAAGTCCGCTTCGAGATATGTTGATCAAACCTCATATATAAATTAACACTTATCGATTTTAATGAAGCGGCATGAGATATCGATCATTTGAAACATAGGAGGTCCTAGACATACAGACACGGTCAGATCGATTCTGCTATTAGTGCTATATACTTTTTAGAGCCGGTTAAGCTCCTCCTGCCTGTTACCTACACTTGTACAAAATCATAATACCCATTTTGTGGCTTTTGTTTTTAGGGTATAAGAAACACGGGCCACTAAAGCAGAACGACTCAGCGGATCGTCGGATCGTCGGATCGGCAATCAGCAAAACTGTGTACTGATTGCCCCGTGTCCGTATCCGTCTCTAGGCGTGCATTGTGGTATCGGGTATCGGGCATGATGAGGTGTTGTTGCTGGTGCTGGTTGCCTCTATTACCTCTGTGTGGTGGCAATATTCCACCACCGAAGCTATAAATAAATTATTTATAGCTCTGACTCCAGTTGGACGCGGCATTGCTGTTGTTGTTGATTTAGTGCCTCTTTATAGATCGATAGATGTGTGTGCGACTTTTCGTGTGTGTGTGTGTGTGTGTGTGTGTGTGTGGATCTGGATGCATAAACGGGACGCTTACTTGATGATAGAGAGCTATTACGCCTCCAACTTCCACCTTCCTTAACTGCAGTTAGCTGCGGCTCGGCTGAGTTCGGCGGGTCGAGCCTCCTGTTGTTGTCCATACTGGTGGTGCGTGGTGTTTGTGCTCTTATCTAATCGACAGCAATGGTGGGCCACAGATCGATTGCGGGCTGACTGGGCTGACTCTGTGCGGCTGATAGGCCCATATAGAGCGCCCAGAGGCGGCAGATTGAAATAAAACTCCGGTTTTATAGCCACCACAAAAACCCCGGCCGTATGGGGGTGCCCTCTAGCTCCACACTCGCTGCAATGGCCATGCCACGTAATTATTTATGGCCCGATTTACACAAACAGCAATTTGTATTGTAATTATTGACTATTTTCGATTAACCGGCTTCACACTGGAAGCTACGAGCATGAAAGACGCTGCTCAACAGCTCTACGAAGAGTCGTGACTCCTTTCACTCGAAATCCGCAAAATATTGTGATACATAGTTGAAATACTTCAACCTTAAGCTTTGGTCTCAGTCTCTGCGAAATCATATTATTTCAGAAATGTGCTCTAATCCGAAATCCGCAAAATTGTGTAAAATATTCGTGAATTATCTCAATATAAACCGTGAATCCTTTCACATGAAATTCACAAATTATTGTTAAACATACATGAATCATTTTGATCAACTCCAAGCTTTGCTGAGACTATATCCCAGAAGGTTCAGGTATATCTATTTACATCTAATAAAATACATACGACAATCATTTTTATCATAATATAGACGGCAGTCAGAAAGGGCAATTGCCCTGAAGCATTGTTGATTGATATTTGTATAATTTACGACATGTAACTGCGACAAATGTCTGTAAACAAGTCTGGATGCGTATATATCTGGCGTTGCGATGGCGACATAAAGTCTACGAGTTTCGGGCCGGGTTACCTTCTCTCCACGTTTGATTGATAAGTTATAATTATTTTTATGGTCGGGCTTGTTTGCTGCCACCACCTTTACCAGGAGATAAAAGACCAGATATACGAGTAATCGTTCAATATTTGACCAGCGGATTAATCAGAGAACTTGACGAGAGCGACCCTACTACTTACTGCATGGTAAATATTTGTATAATATAGAAAATATACACGAATATTTAGTTGTTTCGCTGAGGCTGCGAAATAGATATATCTATTTTATATAGGTAGCCCAGTTTCGCATTTCCCGAAACCCAAAAATTGAAAGAGAAGCCTTTATTTCAAATTAAATCTTTCATAGAGGCAGTTGCCGCTTAGTAGCGCACATCCTGAAAGAACCACTTATTCTTGCCCTTCTTGTATAGCGACTCGAACTTAACGCGGGACTCCAAGCGACACATCCTGCGCAGAGCGGGATCCATCAGATCCCTGGCCACCAGCTGCTCGAAGCTAACATCCTTCGCCGTGTAGCGTGTGGGCATCAGATGTGTGTATCTCAATCTCTTCAGAAACGTCTTGACCTTGGATCTCTTCTTCAAATAGTTCTTGCCCATCTTCCTGGTCAACTTGCGCGTGCATCCGTCGATGCCCGCGACGAGCGCATGACCCAATGGCTTATTCTCCGGCTTGCCATCATCGGAGGTCTTCACAATGATGGCCTTGCAGCCAGCGTAACGTCCAGTGAGAACTATGACGATCTTGCCCTGTTTGTAAATCTTCTTTATTTTCATCGCAAAGGTTTGCTGAGCATAAAATATTTAATATACTATTTGAATCTCTTAAGTTACATAAAGAAATGGCAGTAAGCACAAAAGTTACTCTTATTAATAACAAATGTGGCCTACTATATCTTATTCCACCCGCAAGCGTGAGCAAGGTTGTAAGAAACTGTTTTGTTTCAATCCGATTCACGTTTAAAAATTATAAAAGTAAGTAAAATCCACTGGTGGAGCCACAAGGTGGAAAATGGATGGCAAAAGTTGTACGGACCAGATCTAGCTTGTTGAAAAATAGCGGAAAATTAAACCTCTTTCAAAGATCATTGTAAAAATTGTAATTGTCTTCCACTTTGCTCAAAATTCACCTGTTCCAAGGTGAAAATGATTTAGGTATAAGGGGAAGTTTAATTTTCGACCTTAAACGGATAGTTGGAGAGAAGTATAGGAAAATACGTGAAAATACGTGTGTATTTTCCAACTGTTTTTCTCTATTTTCAAACCGATCGCCTTTAAATAAGCTTTAAAAAAATATATGAGAATTATAACTAAAATTAAAATCTTCAGCTGTGGATATATTTATTTATATCAATATATTGAAATTAAATAAAAATGCAGGCTAAAAGTCTACCATATTGATTTTCGCCAGCGCGTATTTCTTTTTATCAATTCGTAGCTTATTTTTTAACCATTTTGTCAAATAAACATGATTTTGATTGAAATGCAAACGTGTTAGTTGCAGAATGTATTTATAAGGTGCACATTGTTTTTCTAACCGCACAATTTGCCGACGCAGTGAGAGATTTAACAAAAATAAAAACGCCAAGCGACAAGAACAACAAAAAACACACAACTATAGAAGCAAAAAAAAAAAAAATAAAACAAATGTTGCCCAAAAGCTAATTACCGAACAAACGAATTCGATTGAATCGATTGATTTTCCACTGGGCAACCAGATAAGAGCAACCATTGCGCCGATTAAGATTTGTTATCTGTGAAAACAGAGGCGCAATCGCAGACCCTACCATGCGCAGTGCCCGCAGAGCTGTGATTGGGTCGCCCCAGCGCCAAGTGGGAGGAGCTCTGCGCTTCGTCTCACCTCGCATTGGTGGGGCATCGAACTTGTCGACCCGCTGCCCCCCCACCTGTGCGGAACACACCAGGCCCTGATTCACGTGTGTGTGTGTGTGTGTGTGTGTGCCTGAGCTAAAGTAGAGCAGCCATATCCGAAAAATTCCAGTGCCAGTGCCATGTTCGGGGCGGAGCCAGCGCATTGTTTAAATCAAGGTAAGACAAATACAAAACGAACAAAAATATTTGCACACTAAACAGCCACATATATACACACTCATACATATATATATAAACAATGTGTATGTGTGTGTGTGTTATTTAGTTAACGAACAAGGGCAACTTTCGTAATACATTTTGGCCGCCGTCTCGTTTTAAATAATTGAGTACCTGATTTAAATGTCAACATTGAGCTGCACATTTTCTGCAAATAAATAAATGGAATACAAACAAAAGAAATTGTATATATATATATATATACAAATTGGAAACACATTTGTCATTGTACTTTAGCGATTATTTCAACTATTGTTTACCGACACAAATCCCCCAATACGATGATAATGTTTATTGCAGCTCATGCGAATCATTTCTAGATAAGCCAACTGGAATTTAAAAAATAAATTGAATAGTTTTTTTAATTGTGCACTTTTTAGCTAGCTTGAAAAGTCGCTTCGGAAGTTTGTTAACTCTTATTTAATGTGCTTTATGTTCATATCATAGCAAAGAATATCATAGCATATCATATCATATCTCCAAACTTAACAAAATGTGATGCCCGCACACTAATTCTAAAGGTTGTTAATATGAATAGAAGAAAATAAAATAACAGACATTATCTCGTCATTCGGTTTTTGCATTCTTGAATTGCAGATGAATTTGTTCAGAGCAGAGTGCTCAGTTGAAACTAATTAGTTAGAGGCAGCACCCCATTTGTTAATTTGCAGCTATATTTAGAAACAGTTGGGCATAGCGCATAATTGTCCAATGCAGATACAACAACAACAACAACAACAACAACGACTGCGATGATGGTAATCTATGTAATTAAGCAGTTCCATTGTCAAAAGTGTCAGTCGGTTAGTTGAAAAGTCGCCAGTTGCAGTGGAAGCTCTAGATCCCACGCCCACAGCAGCCGCCCCCGTTGGGGCCAATCATTAGGGACACGGACAGAGAGAAATTCACACCCATACATGGGAGCAGAGATCTCAAGCTGTGAGCGGCGGCTCATCATGCAATTAAACGAGCCACAGCCAGTACCCAAAGACCCGCACAAATGCGGCTGATGATGTCATATGGTAGGTCCGTAATACATATAAGTATATAAGAGTTCATGTGTACTCAAATGTATTTGCAAGCACTGTTAGATGATCAAATGATTCCGAGGCAATGTCGCCCAAAGTAGAATCCATTCCATGTACTCTCATTAATTTATCCCAGCCAGTCAGCCAGCCAGCCAACCAGTCAGCAGGCGAGCCGAGGCGAACGGCCATTTCCAGCTTTAGCTAGCGGTAGACAGCATCGAGTCGAGTCGAGTCGAGCTGTGTTGCTGTAATGTATCTCATGGATCTGTGTCTGTGACTGTATCTGTTGCAGCGCCTCGCTTGGAATCTAGACAGTGTGGCCAATTTAGTCTGCTTTGGCAAATCAATTAAATTCAATTAATCCCCCAACACTGTTAATGGAGCCTAATGAAAAGGGTGACATGGCCATATCGCGCCCACAGCGCATCCAACGGATACATTGCGTTCCGGACCGGGCCGGACCGGACCGAGCCGTTGCTGTGCCTCTTTGGAGTCTTCGCAATTGATAGAGTGCAAAAAAAATCGCATGTCTGAAACGATTTGTGGTTTTTACACTGCCAAACCAAAAGCAGCCAAGTCGAGTTGTGAACTTATTTGTATTTGTTCTGGCTTGATTTTGTATCTGCAACCAGAAGATATTGTATCTTTAGCTCTATTCAAGAATATTGCGTACTTCTTAAGGAACGAAGAATATTTTCGTTTTTTTTTATATCCTGCAATATTATGTATCTGATAGATACTTTGCTTCCTAACAAAGATACTTTAGGTCAAGAAGTAAGAATCGTGTGCTTTTCCAGGTTTCATTTTGTATTGTACGTTATCCGAAAATGTGGTTAATATTTGAGTTTCTATATATTTCAGTTTTCGTTAGATATTCCTCAAAAATAGCTAAAGGATACTCTGAACATATTACAAACCTACTTCAATGATAAATAATTATAAATAGATTTTTTTTCTTATTAATTCCTTTGAGTCTATTTTTTCAGTGTATTTTCCGCTTGCTGCTTCCCACAATTCCAACTTTAACCGCATTTTTAATTGTAAAAATATCTTCTCCTTCTCTGGTTTTGATTCACTGCAAAAATATTTCTCACGCTTCGAAGTTTGACATTTTCGAACTTTTGCATGATTTCAAATTCTTAATTGTTCTTAACTGTTTTATTTTTTCAAGCATTTTATCGTATTTCCGAGCAAACAGTAATATCGCGATGCCAATTGAGAGCACAATGCACAAATTGTGGAGTCATTCGGAGCGGCAGAGGGTATCATAATTTGAGACGAATAATGTGACGCATTGACAGATGCATTTCAGACTGAATGAAGTATATCTATCTGATCAGAATAAAGTATATTTGTTTTTACAATTGTTATTTAAAACGGTTCGAATTAAGCCTAGCTATAGTGGGGCTTGTGCAAGCGGAAAATACTTTTGAGGAGGATTGAAAAATGTCTATTAGACCTAATTCAAAAGTATTCTTGCCTTGGAAACATTTATATATATTTATAGTATATATAGCATACATTCGATTTCCCGCAACAGGTACATCACATTTAAACTTCATTTATATATATATATATATATATATATATTCAGATATTATTTCATATTTTTATTGTTTTGTTTTCAGAGTGTGTACAATAATATTTCTGATCATCTGATGGCTGTTAAGATCTTAAAAAGAATACGTTTATTTATTGGATTTTTATTACATTGTCGTTAAGCATTTCGCTCTCCAATTTCTACAGCAAAAATCCACTTGGTCGGCATTGAAACCGTTTAATGTAAATATAAATCGGTTAATCTGAAAATTGGCCACAACATAAACGACATATGACGCTATGCCGGTGAACGGAAAAGGGTTCTCGGCTTGAAAACAATTTTGAAAATCATGAATAAATTTTGCGGTTAAATTGTTGCATAAATATTGTGTGCGGGGGGCGGCGAGGCAGGCGCACGTGCGCCCAAAAGCCAAATGCCCGCAACATACGGAAGCCCTATAATTATGGGATAATGTTCGATCAGCCAACACACAATTGGGTCGATGGCTGGGTAGGCGTATATTAGCGATGGGATCAAAGGGTAAGTCTCGATTTCAGCGGCGGCTCAACAAAAGGAACAATCAGCGCCGCAAGCAGCATTTCAGCTACATATGTATGCAAACAGAGCCGATTGATGCCGCATCCTGGAAAGCAAGCCATGCCGCGAATCCTGGCTACTGCCCCGCCCGCTGCCTCTGCTGCTGCTGCTGCTGGGCACCCTTTTGTAATCGCTTCGCTTACGCCTCAGTTCACATGTGACAAAATAATAACAATGCCTGGGCCAGGGTAGGCAAGGGTAGAGGGTTGGCTGCGGGGGCAATGAGGCACGCAACCGCGCCACACTCTCGTTCTGTGTGCCACAACTGTGACTGAAGACAATGCGGGCTAATGGACGACCAAATGCAACAAATTGAGCAGCGCCCGGGGGAGGCGGGCGGGTTGCCATGCGAAACTGGGTTAAGCGGAAGGGGTAATTATTTTAATTACAGCGAATGCAAAAAAGAGCTGGCACCTAATACGCAACCCGCTGACATATTCAGCTGTCAGAGGCGGCGATTAGAAGGAAGCTCCGCACCTTTCAGAACGGTGCCAGTTACATGTTAAAGTAATTAACTAAATTACCAAGTCCGAGTTCCAAAAGATAAACGAGCTGCACAGGTAAATACACACACACACACAGACACACACACACACACGAACACTTCTCTAAGTGTTATAGTCGTTCATTTTGTCAGCTGGCATGCAGAGAAATTCCCTGAAGAAATCAAGCTAAAAACTATATAGTGCAGCACCACATGTGTGTGTGTGTGTGCGTGTGTGTGTGTGTGTGTTTTTACCTGTGTATGTGTTTGCATTATTTGCATATTATGTCATCAGTCGTCCATCAGTTGTGTTGCCTTTGGGGACTGGGTCGTCAGCTGGCCACGAGCTCAGTTTCTACTGTGTTGTTTCATTGTAAAGTTCACAGATTATTTAGTTCAACTGCCCCCACTTTCTCACCCTCCCACCAAGAGGCTTACCCTAACTAGTTATTAACGTCATTTTGCTGACCATCATTTGAATTCACGCCCAATTGGCTTGTCCTTTGGCTGGTTGTATGCTTCAAAGTCGTAAACTTTATAATAAGCTGTTGCGGTTAAGTAACGAGGTTAGTAATGTTTACCCTACTCGGAAATACCTTTGGGATATACCGTTTCCGTATTACGGTACGGCATATCATCTGGAATTTATTCAAGCTACGCGTATGTGTCATAATAGGTCAATTAAATACCTTGTTAAAGCTAGGAAACGGAGAACTTTGTTCAGCAGCTATTTATTAATTTGACAGAAAAATGTTGCAGAAAAAATAGCTGGAAAAGGAAAATAAAAATGTTCTGGCCTCTTCAAGTAATTGACTAAAAATGATATAAATTATGACATTAAATGATATTTACATACCTAAAAGAAAATGCGCTCTCTACATTCTCTTATGAAGGAAGAAAGAAAATAATTTAAAAGGGAACATTTTAGCCAGGCTTGACTCTTTCTACACCTACTTATATCAACTACATTCCAGAATTTCCTGCAGCTACAGACTGTGCTGAAAGATACGCCAGAAGCAATCGTTAATTCTACACATTGATAGATCGAGTGATTTTTATATATTGTATCATTGAATCGGCTCGATGAGACGAAACATAATCGAAGGCGTTGCGTGGGTGTATCTCGTCACTTTTCAGTTTGATTTGTTTCAATTGAAATGAAACGTTTTGAAATGAGCCTCCCGGCATGCCCACAATAACCTCATGCAACCAGCCGCTCGCCCAATATGTGAGCCGAGTCGCGCCGAGCGTGTGGTGCGCTTTATGGCGGTTGCGTGACTGGTGGCCATCTGGCAGTCGGAACGATCCTCGATCAGCCGGAATGACGCTGCAATCTCCAGAGTGTAAATTGTGAAAATGGAAAGTTAGGAGAGACCGCCTGGTCCCCTGGCGATCGAGAGCCGATGATGTTGACCAATTAATTGTCATTAAGCGTATTTGAAGATTTTTAATTAAAACAAAATCTTCGGCTTAATTTAAATTGATCGCCAGCCAGTCTCAATAACATTGCGCGCTTATGAAGCTCGGAACAGTCCCCACAGAACGAGGCTGGTTGGGTGTGGGTGCCATTGAACGTCAATACGGATGATGAGGTCGGCATTGAAACCAAAGCCAAGCCGCATCCGAAATTCCATAAAACGAGGCGTGCTTCAGAATTGAAGCCTTTCTTGATAGATGAGCGATCCCTTTCCTATACCTATATAGACATGCACATACATATATTCTTAATAAAACACATACACTGATAACTGCGGCGTTTAGGCAAAGGTAATGCGTCTTCCGCTTCTTCAAAGAAAATTAAATATTACTCGACTGTGCGTATCAATTATGATATCTATCGATATTATCGGAACAAAATTATATATAAGAATATGTATTCCAAATGTTCAGTGTAAAGATCATACTTAAATATTAGATTTAAGCAATGCATGTATCGAAAAATGTATAATGCTTGACTCTCTATATCTACCGGAACTCCCTAGTTTATTAGATTATTATATTACTTTCAATACATTTCTTAGAGTCGAAATAAAAAGTAAATATCTGCATGGCATAATTCTTTTTACAGCCCGCTTCAACAAGGAGCTCAGCTGATCAATTTATTTGAGATATTTAGCGTATTTTGGTCATAATTCTTATTGAGTGGGATTTCAATTGTTTTGCTTCGTCTGCACAAAATTGAAATCAGCAGCCGCAGTTTTGACACAAGAGGCGGGCCCAAAGACAGCAGTAGCAGTAAGAGCAGCAGTAGCAGTAGGAGCAGCAGTTAAAGTGACTCGTAAACGCAGTCAACCAGTTGAGCAGAGCCCATTTATTTATTCATTTGTTCAATTCATTTCTTTTTCGGCAATTTTGTGGTTAATTTTAATGTGCGCCTTTTTGATTGGCGGCACATTTCATGTTTCGCTTCATTCATTGGGCTGGTTTCATATTATAATTTTTATTTTTTGTTTCTTTGTTTTTCTTCTTTTTCTTTTTTCTTGCAGCTAATTTAGTGCGCAATTAGGAAGGCCTTTTGTGGGCTCCGTGCCGCGCACTGAACTTTTGCCCCCCACAAAAAATAAAAAACAAAACGAAACGAAACGAAAGTAAACGCTTCACGTTCAGATATGATGATAAAACCCGGGCTAGCTTACGATAACTGCTAAGCTATGCAGATAACAGGCTAACCTAACCGAATTGCCTCCAATCGGAACAGTTCAGAGTCCATGACTAAAATTGTCACCTGACGTGCCGATTCCAATTGATTTTGGGGCTCATTTTATCGGGCCTGTTTTGGTTCTTTGCCTTTTATCTGCGATTGTTGGTAGTTGTTAAGTGGCATGTGAGCATAAAACCATAAATGAAATCTTTTAACAAATCGTTTGTTAGGCAACCCATTCAACTACTCGCACAATGAACGATATCACAGGGCAGGAAATGGTAATATACTATTCAAGTTAATAACTGAAACACATATCTCTAGTTTATTGCATCCAAATGCCTTTGGGCACAACAAATGGAGACTTTTAAGCATATTATCTTTGGTTTGCCTTGAATTTCAATTGCCATATACTACAGATGCGTTAAAGTTATTTAAAAGTTAAAGTTAAGTACTGGCTTCTTTCCAAATTGTTCAATACTTTAAGCAAGGCAACATCTTCTGTATCTTCTTGTCAATTATGTAGCCTCATGATAAAGCTGCTTAGTTAAAAAGAAAGACCTGAATTTGTTGCGTGCAAATTCCAACAACTTAAAGAATAGAAAATGTGTTTGAAATCAAAGATACGCGATGACAAGGCCGGGAGAATATTTAAGTATGCTTTCGTTGTGTAACAATTTCAATTATTATAGCATGTTATATAGGTAATATACCAATAGTACTGTCTACTGTGTCCTTCCGGGGACTTCGATCCCGCATATTCGTTGTTCTGGCTGGGGCACTTATACAGTTCAGATTGAATATACTTTAAGCAGAAGTATTGAGTATTGTTTGACCAGGATCTATGGAAGTATCGTTTAACAGAAGTGCTTAAGGAACACTTACATAAAGTACTAGTTTTATGCCTTGAACTATTTTATTGGATGTGAGCATGTGTTGACCGACGACATGCATTATGCATGTGCAACAGAGTTACGATTTTTCCAGTAATTATTCATGCCAATAACAACAACAACAAAAACAGTGCTAACTCAATTCGAAAACCAACACGAGAAGCAAACAAACAAACAAACAAACAAACAAACAAACCAACAGACAGACAGGCGGAAGGACCTTAGGAAGGACTTTGCAAGCCGTAGGCAGGCCCAGTTCCATGTCCATGAATGTGAATCCCGTTCGCATGAAGAGTGACGCTCGAGTGGGCAGCACTTAAGGACAAGCGGCCGGCACAGCGAGCTGGTGTAGGAAGTGGACATGTGGCTGTGAGTGTGTACGGAGCCATTACTTAATTATCATAACAGCCTGGCCAGGTCGCTTTTTGGCCAAAATAGACAGCCGGAAAGGGTTAAGCGAGAGCGAGAGAGTGGCCGTAAAAATTGCGCCACACCCAGCGTAGATAATTCGGGGAATGGGTGAACACACGCCGCTAATAAAATAATAAATATCCTGACTGCCAGGCCTGGCCGGGCCGGGCCGGGACGGGCCGGGCTGAAGCAACAACCGGATACGGGAGACGCGCAATCGGGGACCACCCGTCGACACGCGTTGGGCCAACCACGAAAATTGAGTCGAAATGAAAACAATTTCATCAGCGTAATATTCATGATGGGTAGATTGAGGCGCACACATAAAGCTGAAAAGAGTTTTCGCCATAAATTGCCATATTTTATGTTTTCTGTTTCGCTTCAAACTCATGGCTCGCGCCTTTTTTGTCAATTGAAACGCAATTTTCATAAAACACACGTGCGCACCGTAGAGCGCGCGCTCTACACGTATCCGTCAGATACGCAAAAAGAAAAATTCGTATTCGCCCCCTCCCAAACCCCAAACCCAACAGTTTGCTGCAGCATTTGCGCTCACGTATGGCTTGTCACAGCGCTGCGACCACATTCAAAACCTATTGGCTCCGACTCGGACTCCGTTTGGCTTTTGGCTGCGGCTGCTGTTTTAGCCATTGCCCCCAGCGGAGCACTTGCAAATGCGACCAAAGCACGTTTTGCCAAACTCTAATGACAGGCAAATAAATTTCATAGAAAATATATTTCGAAAAATTGATCTGACGTGTCACGCGAGTAGCAGGCGGCAGCAGCAGCAACAGCAGCAGCAGGAGCTCTGTCGAGTATCCATGGACATGTCCGTGTCTCTGGTCACCGCATTGGCCACCGCTGCCAGGCACAAACACACAGTCAAGCATGTTATAGATACAGATACAAGATACTCCGTAAGTAGATATTTGTCTGTGTACTCGTTGCTATTTGCAATTGATATCAGGAGCATCGTAGTTCTAAAAGGATTGCTATTCATTTAGCATTTCAAATTTGAGTAAAAGAGTTTGAAAGAAGTTGGGGATTATTTGGGCAAAAGTTTTTAATTTTTGAAAAGAAATCGAAAATCAGACGTTTTTTACCCGAAAGTTGTTTTCTAACGACATAATCTCGCGCAGATCAACTGCGAAGCTATGTCGACTCTTTCGAATTACTCACCTTAACTGCCCAAAAAATTCCTCACAAAAAAAAAACATCAGAATTGATTTATTTTTCAATGTATTTATTTTGTTTCATAACATCGTATTTTCATTGCTTAATTATTATTTATATAGTTATTTAAACAAATATATGTTTTACAGCATTTGAATATTTAGTTCTTATTTCATGTATCTACACTTCGCGGGTATTATTCGGCGTTGCCCAAGATAAAGCTTGTCTGGTCTTTTCCAGTTTTTTTCCTTCTGTCCTCCCTTTTGTCAAGTTGTAACTGTATTTACCTGAAATAAATAATATTTAATATATTAAAAAAAGTCGTTCAAAAAGTAGACAAAACGTGATGTAATTAGACATTATTTGGCCGAGATACTCAAAAAAATCATCAAAACAGCTGAACTTTACAAACGAATCGGTTTTTGGTCAATAACTTTTTTGAACCGACCGATTTATAATTTGTTTGAATGCCATTTGATAGTAGGGATCCGTACGATCCTTTTGCCTGTTACATACATTTGCCCCTTTCGCCCATTTCTAATGGGTTGATGGTATAAAAACAATAATAATAACAATAATCATATTAAATTCCCAATTGAGATTGAAATAGACTTTTCAAAGAGTGAAACTTACAAGCGGGCTTCTATTGTCCCATCTACTGTAAAATGGAATATCCCTTAAATTCCACGAAATCGTCGCGTTTTTGTCAGCAGAGCCAACGATAAGCAATAAGCTTTTTATTGCCCATCAGAGGAATATTTTATTGTTCATCGATGGAGCAGCCGTCAGCCGAAAAGTTGAGTGTGGAATGTCAAATGCGCAGCAGCTGAAAAGATACAGATACATATACAGATACATATACATAAACAAGTACGGATACAGGATGCAGAGCAAAAGCTGTTAGCTGAGGTACTGCGGCTTTTGGCTTAACGGCCAGACAATTCGCTTTAGCCACGGAGCCGTTCCCCGGAGGCATTCGAGAGCGACATAATGAATTACCTTTATTGACAAGTTAATGTTTATAGGTGTGCGCTACCTGTGGCAGCTGCCGCAGCTAAGCGCCGTTAATGCCAAGTGGATAGGCTGTTGATGATGCTCCACTTGCCGGTCCCCGAGCAATTTTCGCAGCGGGTCTCGAATTATTCAGTGAGCGGCTAACACGAATAAAATGAGATGCGCCACATTCGACTCCAATTCAAATCAACCGCTCAGCGATCCTTCTGAATTATTAATGTCCTGTGGCAATCAATTGGCGTTGACATTGCTCGACTAAGGAGGCGACAGGGGCGTGCCCCTGCCCTAGATGGGCTGCAACAATTTTGGAGGACAGCACACGCGATGTCGTTAACTGTTGTAAGGCATGTTATTGGCGCTTCTTTTGGCGTTTTGATTAATTGAAAATGAGCTTCTAATTAACAGCCAAGTGCCTGGAATTGACGTCATGTCAGCGTCTACTTTTAGCTTCTTTATTTATCTGCCATTCAAATTGACTCCAGCTGGTTGGGTTAGTCGCATAGATATCCTGCAAGCAGGACTGACAGTTTCCGTTCTGTCTAGAAGTTATCTATACAGAGTTCTTAAATTTCAATTTTATCAAGTTTCTTCTAAATTTGTAATTAGCTTTTATTTGTATATGCCAATTGATTCCAGTGCTTCAGAGATCAAATCGGAGCAGTATATCAGAAACGAGCTCTCCATCATAAACTGAGAAAAACTTTACACAAATCTATCGTAATTCGGATAAATATCTAAAGAAATATATAAAGAAGTGGACCTTAAATAAGGACCTTAAATAAGTGGATTGCAAACTTTTACCTGTTAAAGATGCGCCTTCACAACTTTCGATAGTCCTCTTCAACCATTTTCTAAGTACAGGGTATAGGCAAAAACGTATTGGGCGACGACACAGACACACCCAGGGCGCTGTTTCGAGTATTCCCTTATAAATAGATACAAGTGCGGCTACGTGCAGGACGGAGTTGCCGAGTATTCGAGTTAAAGGCAATTGAAGCGTTAAACTGAACGCTTTTCAACTTATTTTTGTGTGGGGCAAAAGTCGGAAAATTGTGGCTGGAAATTACAAAACGACAGCTCGAGGCATTTTCTTGAGACTTTACGAAGCTTACATCAAAGACGCTGACAACCACCGGGTTTGGGGCACGAGGCGAATGCAATGTGGGTGTGGCCACAAGCTGGGCGGAGTCAGTCGCCGTGTGCAGCAGCAGATTGTGGCCGTATCTAGATACATATATAGAGTTGTATATAGATTTACCTGTGTCTGCTTGTTGGCAGCGCATTTACCTGTATATTTTTGTTTTTTATATATCAACACAGCACAAAGCGCATTTAATTAATTAACCCTTTGCGTGCTCAGCGGTTACGCTTCGTGTCCTCCATGTTCAGTTGAGCACAGCTCAAGCGCCTGTTTGTGCAGCGTGAACAAAACATTTTGCATACTTTTAGGCAAAGCAGCACACGCTGGCTAATCAAGTGCGTGTGTGTGTGTGTAGGGAAAGGATTCACCGTCCTGTCCTGGGCGCGGCGCTGTCTTAGCGCTTGCTGGGCGCGGTCCTTGCCATGGCAAATGCGCCAAATCACGTTCCATCCACAAATATTGAGGTATTCTGCTTTGGCGCGTGCCTGTCCCTTTGGCCCGGCTGTCCTTGCCGGGCCACGCACAAATTAGCATGTCCACTCATAATTGTCCTTTCGTGAACAGATGACCCGCTGAGATAACTGTCCATAGTTGTAACTGATTTGCGCTTCTTTGGCTCAGCGCCCTTTTTTCGCTTTGAGTATTTGATTTGCCATTTCCGTTTTATTCGAGTATCGCGTGTCACAAATGAGCGCAACTCTTTTCACTCATTTCTATTATCCAACCAGGCATCTAGACAACTATTGATTCTACGCGAAGTCAAAATGTCAAAGGCTGAAATGTTCTTTTAAATATTCTGATATTAAGCACGTTATTGCTGGTTGTGAAGATTTTTACTTCATTTTCATACGCCTCTTCATTTTCATATGCCTTTCTCAGGTAGATGTAAATTATTATTACACTTCATGATCAAAGAATTAGATCTTGGAAATATGCATTAGAATATAATAGAGTATAGACTATATGATTTAGATTTTAGAAAATGAAAAGGAAAAAATGGATAACATAAAAATATAATATAATATGGTATATAAAATATCCCTGACTTAAGAATCTAGGTCATTATCATTAAACGAACATTAAACAGGATAAATTTGGATAGGGAAGAGCAGAACCAAGCCCCTAACCAAAACTTGAACTTACCTTAAACCGAGTCACATTAAATAAGAAAAATTAACTAATGATTTGATTTAAACTCGAAATCATTTGCATTAGTTAATGGAAAATTGTAAGAAAAGAGACGCATCAAAACGAACCGCAAACCAGGTTTATGAACCGAACTTAAAGGCAAGGTGTGGGTTTGAACCTACCGGAATCAATTGTTTGATTTGCAGCCTAGATGAGAATAAGATTTGATGTCTGTCAATATATCAGACCGCTCTTGTTTTACTTTTATCCTTGAATTATACATTCAATAGCTTCTTACTTTTATATTTAACTGACTTTTCCTTGGAAGCGTACGACTGTCACGTGCTTGGCCCTGAAATGGCGCACAGTAGCTGAGAAGACCTCAACAGTATGTGAGTGGGGCAAAGTTGATGCTTATCTTTGAGGGTTTCATATTCCCCTATTAGACTGGCATGTATCATTTTCCTATAATTGCCTGGGCTTGCCGCAATAACGGCAAACGCGAATGTGCATTAAAAAATGCAAATGACACATAGACGAGCATCCTTGGGCGGAATGGCATAATTAAGTGGGTATACAAGCGATAACAATCAAATGAAATAGGTGTAAATTTAATTTGTCTAATGTCTCAATTTGAATAAATACCCAAAAACAAATACGCTGCAAAGGTATGTTAATAATAATGGATATATTGCAATCATATCCATGGCGGCGATCCACCCTCGCCCGGCTACGCATCAAAATTCGAAAATTGAAACACGTCTTAAACACCTTACACATAGACCTTGCCCCCGCCGTGGCATAGCCGGATTTTAAAATTCAAAGCACTTCGGGTGTCATTTACAGGGCAACACACACACCCACACACACACACACAACCAATTGGCAACTGGAACTTGGGATAACCGAATTTGGGGCAATGTCAAAGCAAACGCCATTCGACGCATTCTTAAATGTTTCCAACAGCTGCCTCCTGACTAGCTCAGGCTCGCGCCTGATGCCCAGACCAAGCCGTATCAGACCGTCAATTGGATATTTAAATACAAGCGACACTTTTAATGGCAAAGTGTCAGCCCGGGAGAGGGTCTGCGCTGGGCTGGGGGCCGTGCTGTGCGGGCATGTCTATTCCGAACACGTATCGGTCTTGTCTCGTGCCTGCTGATAAATTCAATATTGTAAAGAAATAATTTAATTTTGACATTTGCCTTTGGTCACGTGAGAGTTTTCAAGGAATTCAATCAATTTCAACTTTTTGCTGTACAATTTCTTGTAGCTATATCATGCCTTTCGACTGTAACTTGACCAAAAACTTGAAAAATATCCAAATTTTCTAGCCAAATATTAGCACAAAACATAGCTAGAAATATGAGCTCTATGTGCATAGCTTTTAGATTTGGCCTTTTGAATTTTGCTTATGCTTGAAAACATCTTTATTCTCGATTTTAGGTTAGGCTTTTTAGGATTTGCTAGTATATAAATTCTGAAAAATATATGAAATCAATTACTATAAAAAATTAATTTCGAAAATATCAAATATAAATTTGAACTAAATTTTTCAACATTTGCCACATATGCATATTAGTTTTCTTACTTTCTTTTGTTTATTTTTCCACAATTTTCTTTCCATTGTACAAGTATCTATAATTAAACAGTTATGTTTCAGAAAAATCAGGTAATTTCTGCCGAGCTGAAATTTTCAAAATTCGTAAGCAAATTTAATGGAATTTCGCGAATTATATCATGTAACGGATTAGAAACTCGTGCGTCACAGTTTATGATGTGGCATAAAAACGTCTCATTTGGGCAACATTTAATCCGCCAAATTGTTTACACGCGCAACATTTCACCTGCCCCCGTCATGTGCCCAAAAGGGCCACAAGGCAACGTCACAAATCCGGGGCTAACCCAACCCGAGCCCAAACAGCCCACACTTGTGCTTAAAACAATCGCGAATTTTTGAATTCATTCGAAAATCGTTTAACGGTCGTTGGCTGTTTTTCAGTGACACCTGCGCATTCCCAATGCCAGCCAAAAGCTGCCATAACTACCCCCAAACCACGCCCCTTCCCCACTCGTCCCCTGTTTGCCGCCCATGACTTGCAGCCGCGTCGCTTGTCGTGGTTTTATTTAAAATCGAAAACGCGCAATGAAATGCAAAGCGGAAACGTTTCTTGATTGTAAATGGCTGTGCCACATGCAGCCTGTCTGGCTGGACCCGAATTGGGATGCGTCTGTGGACGTGGAAATGGCTGCACTTGCCGCCAGCCGCAAGGTGTATGCAGCTGTCTGTCTCTCTCTCCCTCTCTCTCTCTCTCTCTCCCTCTCTCTTTCTGTGTGTGTCGCGTACCAAACAAATAAACAAAGGGTTCAACAATAGCAGCCGCACAAAGTAATTCAAAACAAGCGCGTTATTGAAATGTTTGAGCGAAACGCCAAAGGATCTCGATTTACCAATTCTCCATCTCCATACATCGAGCTCTTCCGCCATTTGTTGCCCTTGTTATCCTTTGCAGCACAAGGAACCGCATTGTTTGTTTATTTACTTCTAAATGCCGAATAATCCGCGAATTAAAGTGCTTTTCAGCTACTTGAATACAAAAAGGTTGGTCTACGCATTTGTATATAATGCAGGGTTTATCTAGGAGAAAATACAGCTTTTATGCCAGGGCAGTGTGGAAATCGAAACAAATTATGCTCCAACTTGAAGTTTTTTAATAAACAGACGGTAAGCATGGTGTATTGGTATTTGGTCTTATTCGGCGAGCGTCTTTAATTTGAGACCCCAAATTTGGAATTCTGGTTGAAACTCTATCGAAATTCGCGGAAATATTCCGTAATTTAAAAGTCGCTTTGGTTGTTAGCATTTTTAATGCTAGTCTAACATTTATGGGTCCCATTGCAGTGCCCCAAATACACAAGTCATGTGTTAATCGCGCCTGTAAAAACAAATTAAACTTCAATTTTGTGCGGCGACTCGTTGGGAGTGCGTCGTGTGGTTTTCGAGTGGCTTGGAGCCACTTGGAGCAGACAGGATGGGCGGCCAGGCTGTGGCAGACAGCTCCTTGACTTGGTCCTAGATCTTCAGTTTCGCTGGGGTTGCAGCTGGGTCGGGGTAGGCGGGTAGGGGGTAGGGGAGCGAATGTTAAGCAACTTCCGCTTCGGTTAAATGAAGTTAGCTTGTTGCGACTTATGCAAAAGTTTTCAATTGCCTTTTATTATTGTTGTTTTCTTTTATTTTTATTGCTGCCGCTGCTCGCGCTTGCTGGCAGCCAACTCACCAGCTCAAGTGAAATGCAAATTTATTCAAAATGTTGAACGGCAAAAGTTGCTTACCGCTGTCAGAAAGTTGTCTGGATTAAGGTCTACAGCGATAATTAAATACCATTTTTCGCATTTATATTTGCATCCCGTTGAATAATTGCCTTCATTGCGCTACTAATTCGTTTTATATTTAAGTCAAATTCATAGAAAAGTTTTAAGCTAAAATTAAAGGCGGTCTCTGAATATTTTAAATATATATGCTACATTTGGCATGGGCTAATAAAGCTTACCCGCCTTATGTATAATTAGGGTTTCCTTAAATTGGGAGACTTTTCTCACATATCTTATCAACATCACCTGCACTGTATCCATGTCCGACTCTTTATGTTGATCCTCAGCCGATCTCAGTGGTAGTAAAATCTAAAGAGAAAACGGAATTAAGTTTATTCCAATTGCAAAATTGGATATGCAATCGATCGATTGAGCGAGCTCCAGTACCAAAGCATCAAGCTCAATTCTCTTTATATAAAGTAACTATAAATAAAGTATAAATTCATAATCCAAACATTTTTCTTTGAAATTGAAAATATATGATAAGCTTCAGCTTAAGCAGACTTCGTGGACATGGAAAAGCAAGTTTACAAGTCGAATGCCAAGCCGAAATCTTTGTTTAAACTATAAACTTAAGCCCCGACTCATTTTTTTATTGCAGAAAATTATATTTTGCTGATTTGTGATGGGCGTGTCAGTTAAATGGTGATCTAGCTACTGCGGATAATGAATAAATATGTTTATCGATTGAATTACAGGGTATACATATTTCCATCAATAATTGAACTGCTCAAACATTATTTTACGTTAGAAACTAAATATTTTTGCTTATTCCTGTCAATTATTGTACACCCATATGTGTAAATTGTTTTGTATTAAAACGAAATTTTGTGTTTACGCTAAATTAAAAGTGATTTAGAGTTGAGAAGCATGGATGATGAACGCCCATTGCAATACGATATCAAATGGGATGTATGGGAGGGCAAGCCCATAACAGACATTAACTTCAAGCAAGTAGACTTCAGTGCGTATACACTATCCAAGACAGAGTCCTAACCGAATTGTATACAGGCATTACGGCATCGTTATTGAGTTTATGTGGGAGAATTCATTTCTACAGAGCATCGTATATGAGGGACTGGGTCTGCATGAGTTGGCGGAAATGAAGGGTATATATACGGATTATTGTAGGCATATCTTACGCAACGAGTGCTCCGTGATGATGATGAACGAGAGTGAAACCCGGATTGAAGCCGTGGCCCTACTTGAGTGGATGACTGAAGCTTGGCATTCCTGGTAAAAAAAAAAAATGAGAAAGAAAGAAATGTTAGCCCATTTACTAGACAAACTAATCGAATTCCTTTGTAGGGTTTTTCTGCCCTCATTTGTTGCGAAGGGCCTCTTCCAGAAGTTGATTGACTTGAAGGAACAGCTCATGGCCGACACCAAGAAGAACCTAAATTTGGATAACTTAGATTGCCTGATGGTGCACGAAATTGGCTTTCCAAGCGATTTGTATGAAGACCAGGATTTCGCAATGTGCATGTTCGACGTCTTCGGCATGGTAGCCCAGCACATGCACATGCCACGCGTCTGCTTCATTGCACTGACCTCCAAGGACCAGTATGAAGCTGAATTGGCCGAGTATACAGAATTGGGCAGATCGATCTACTCCATTTATAAGGCTGAAGGCAATCATCGGCCATTCGATTGTCTGCGCGACCTGGATGAAATGTACGCCCTGCTCTATGTGCTGCCTCTGGATCCGATATTACATTATATGGAATGGCCCGGATTTGAGGCCTTCCATGCAGCTCTAAAGGCAAAAGAGCAAAAGGAGAAAGAGGAGGAGCAGATGCGACTAAATGAATTCTGATACAAATAGATATACCATTTGTAAATAGATGAAATCATAAAACAATCTTCCTTGGAGTATTCAATTTGTTAAAGGATATCAAATGAAAGAATGCTATCCCGAATTGCCTCTCGCACGATTTTTTTAGAGCTTTACGAAATCCATAATTTTGGAAATTCTTCAAATTCATATACATTCAGCCTGACAAACATGATCTATTCTATTATAGAGGAAACTTAATTCGGAAGTTTTTCAAAAGCTTTCTTGTTTAGATCTCTTGAAGGAAACTCTCCCATAAATCTGCAAACTGTGAGGTAATTATTTTTAGATAATTTAAGCCTGATATTTTATCCTGAGCAATGTGCAGAACGTGCTTGAAATATAATTATTGTAATTATCAATTTTAAATTCAAATTTAAGGGCTTCATTTTTTTCGCGCTTAGTTCGTCTAGGAACCAGTTCGATTGGCATGAAAGCAGCTTCAAACGCAGCAGCGATAAGGCAAACATGATAAGCATTGTTTATTGTTTATATATGGAAAGATTTGTGTGTTTGTGTAATGCATGCTCAGGCAATTAGTATTAGCAACAGGCACTTGATTTCTGCTGATAATACACTAACCTATCTGCAGCTGGGATCGCTACAACTTTGAGTTCAGTTTGGCAGCCAGCAACAGGCTGAGGACATCGTCGGCACAGCCCTCGCACAAGGTGACGCCGCTGCCACCATGTCCGTAGTTGTGTATGAGCAGCTTCCGGCCACGCCTCTCCGATTCGAGGCGCACCTGGACTCGACCCGGACGCAGGCCAACCCAGTCGAAAAGGTGCTGGGTGTGGACTAGGCCTGGCATCAGGCGGCGACAACCATCGATAATGAAACGCTTATCCACATCGGAGACCTTGGTGTTGTAGTCCTTTTCCTGGTGGGTACCGCCCAGCACCACAGACTCAGTGCTGTTGGGTAAAGCATTGTAGAGTCGGATAGCTGGGCTATATGTGGACTACGGACTCACTTGGGTATGATATAGTTGCCATCGTCGCTTTCGTCCAGGATGGCGGCGAACACCCAGTTGGCCTTGATGCGGCTCACTTGACCACGCACGGCATACATGTTGTCATCGTTCAGCAGCTGCCTGGAGCCGAGACCTGTACAGTTGACAATCACGTCGTATGGCGAGTCTCTGACAAAGCTTTCCAGATCTGTGACCTTCTGCTGCTCAACTCGTCCACCCTTGCGCACAAAGCGTTTCGTCAGGTAGGGCAGCAACTTGAGCGGCTCCGAGGTGTACGTAACAAAGGAGAGGCCCGACCTGTAAGAGTATTTAGTGTTAAGTAGGGGAAAGCCTCTGGTTAAAGCGCTTGCTTACGTAAATTTGACGTCTCTGTTCTTATTATAAACAGCTAGTTGTTCGGGCGTCAGATCCACTGCGCCGTAGACAATGTCGCGCCAGAAATCCTCGACGCTGACATTGGGATCCGTGCTCAGACGGACGCAGGGCAGCAGGCAAACACCCGCCTCGCCCGCATCCTCACTTAGCCATATCTTCTCGAGAAAGTTGTGCATGCTCTTGGACCATTGGCTGTTGGAACAACTAGATCTTAAATGGCTTCAAAGGTGAACTTGTGTTATGACACCTACTAGATCTTGGACTTCTCTGTGCCACTCAGCAGGAAGGGACCCCAAAGTCCTGCCGAGCCATCGCCCGTCGTATTGGGCGTAAATTCTTCCGATATTATGCTGACCTGCACATTCAGTCTTTTTTCAGCCTGATAATGCTCCAAGATTTTGAGTGCACTCGCCACACCGTTCACACCCGCCCCGATAACAGCTACTTTCATCATGATTCCGTCCGCAATGAACCGCCAAACTATACTGAGTAGGGTTGTGCATCGGACGGACTCTAATCAGCTTCATATTCGCACTCATATTAATCAATTGATAAGCGAAACGAACTTTAGAAACAAGCTCATACTTCTTCGACCCTGGCTTATTTTACATTATATTGTTAATTTTAAGATAATTATTTAGCTATTTATTTGGGCCTTAAAAATTTTTTAGTATGCCAAGAATTCTAACTCATGTCGTCGTTCAAGTTTTTGGAACGCAGCTGTGAGGCTTCCGAGAAATAATCATTAGTTCTCTGTTTTTCGATCCTTTCGCTTCGACTGGCTTCTAAATTTGTATTTAAATTTATATTTTCCTTAAACTCTATCTAAGCCAAGCTTTTCAAAGATGTGCGGAGGCTGTTGTGGTCCATGCGGAGGCTGTGGTCCCTGCGGAGGTTGTGGTCCTTGTAATCATTGGCCTTGCTGTGGCCCGCACAGTCCGCTTTGCGGAGCTCCCTCGGCCATTCCTTGTTCACCCACGGGTCTGGAATTGTTGTAATACATCATCAATCTATCCATGAAAGCTCGCGCTCGTCCGAATGTAAATAGTTACCTCGATTGTCCGTTCCCTTCTTCGTCTACCAGCCCGAGACTGCGCGTGCCACAGCATGGGTCATACAAAAATCTTGTAGCTAGACTCTAATTGTTGATTCCCTTGAAGGCTGCTACTGTTGTCCCACTCGCTACTTGAGAAGGAAAGACAATGCACCCTGTGTTTGGTGCGCACCATGCAAGGCTCACTGCTACAACACGCCGCCAAAATGTTGTTGCTAGCGAGTCTCGCATTTTGCGCCGACAGGTACTCATTCTATAGGAAAATTAACCCTCATGGTATACGCCGAATAACCAGCTGCCCAATCCTAATCCTAATGTCAAAACCAAGCACAAATTCGGTAAGTAGCTGTTGTATATATAATACATGGTATGCTTATTTGTTGGCTTTTCCAGGTGGATTTTGATGGACCAGCTCGTGAAGAAAGCGATGGATGTTTAAGAAAACGGGATGGGGTCGGGTCTAGTCAGTGAATGGTTGTTACTGTGAACACTTTGGATGAAACAAATTTGGAAGCTAAGTTGAATCAAGAAAGATAATATAATGGCACGAAGATCAACTGCTTGAACAGGAGTAAACTATTCACAGAAGGTTCTGAATTTGTACAGGCAATTGTGGCGCTTCGAATCATTGCAATGCCATTTCAAATGGCATATACTTAGGCCAGGCTTCTATGCTTCGAGACTCGAAGCGCTTTAAAAGGAGCTGGCACAAATTCTGCGAATGCGACCTGAACAGGAAACGAATCGGAACACTTCATTGAATTTTAAAAATTATTAAATTCTAAATTTTTAGTTATAACCTTTTGGCCTTTGTTTAAAATATATTTTGGAATCAATATATTGCATTTCATTTTAAAAGGGCTAATAAGGTACTGTAAGAAGGGTCTTGTGCTCGCCTTAGAATTATCCTAGGCTGTGCTTAATATTGTAAATGGATAAATGATTTTGTCTGCGTTAAGGCTGGAACTTTAAAAATTTTAAATCATGAAAATATGCTGTTTATGAAATATCTGCTTTTACCGCTCCTTCCAGAAAGTAAAATTGTCGAAGGCTTTAATCTACTGCAATGTCAAGCAATTATGCTTTAAACAAGAATTTGTTTTCTCCGTTTATAATATATTTTGAGAAGCAGTAGCTTGAAAAGGTAAAGGTAAAAATAAAGAAAAAGGTAAAAAATAATTTGAAGATTGCTTTAAATATGTTCCTTTTATTTTAATTTCAAATCATTTATCATTTGAACTTTACATGCTGGAAGGACCTAACAACATATTGGCTTTAAGACGTTCAACTAGAACCACGGACTCTGTCGAAGCATACAATTAGAATTTGGGCAACAAAACGATCGTATTGGTAAGTTAACTGAAAATTTAATAAAAATTATATATTTAAACTTTCTCTTTTGTTAACAGGACAGCTCTCAAAAGATCATGGACGCCACGATTCTCTTTGAGATTGGAGAAATCGATATGCGGGGCTTTTTGTCTCGATTTTCAAGGCAGGACCTGTTTGACTGGGATGATGAATCAAATATTTCCGGAATTTTGCCTGAAATGAAATCTTCCACAACGTCACTTTCCTCGAATGCTTCAAATTTAAGACATACCATAAATGGAACAATGATTCTTTAAATTAAAAACTAAACCTAAGTGCCCGAGCTGTAAACAAGAAGTCAAAGAGGCAATAAGTTAAGTTTTTATTTACACCTAAAAACTGTAAAACCAACAATAGGTTATGGCAAAAAGCTAATAAAAAAAAGGATTAAATAAAAAAAAATTTTTAAATGTCTTTGTTTTTACTCTGGTTAAATTAAACAGTTGCGAGAATTAAGAAGAAGCGATAACGACGATGTTGAGAGGGCTCAACTACGCGATTTGGAATCACCAGATTTATCAGTTTAAAATGAGCGGCGGAGATATGTCGTTTCAAAACGTCATATCTCCGCGGAATTTTGTCGTTTTCAAACGTCATATCTCTGCGCGGAATTATGTCGTTTCAAAACGTCATATCTCCGCGGAATTTTGTCGTTTTCAAACGTCATATTTCTGAGGGGAATTATGTCGTTTTCAAACGTCATATCTCTACGCGGAGTTTTGTCGTTTTCAAACGTCATATCTCTGCGCGGAATTATGTCGTTTCAAAACGTCATATCTCCGCGGAATTTTGTCGTTTTCAAACGTCATATTTCTGAGGGGAATTATGTCGTTTCAAAACGTCATATCTCCGCGGAATTTTGTCGTTTTCAAACGTCATATTTCTGAGGGGAATTATGTCGTTTTCAAACGTCATATCTCTACGCGGAGTTTTGTCGTTTTCAAACGTCATATCTCTGAGGGGAATTATGTCGTTTTCAAACGTCATATCTCCACGCGGAATTTTGTCGTTTTCAAACGTCATATCTCCGCCTATAAAAATGAAAATCTCTAAAAACGAAAATCAGACTTTTTTTCCCGAGAGTTTTTTCTAACGACATAATCTCGCGCAGATCAACTGCAAAACTATGTCGACTCTTTCGAATTACTCACCTAAACTGCCCAAATTTCCTCACAAAAAAACATCAGAATTTATTTAATTTTAAATATATTTATTTTCTTTCATAACATCGTATTTGCATTGCTTAATTATTTTTCATATAGGCATTTAAAAAATTATATGTTTTACAGCATTTGAATATTTAGTTATTATTTTATATATCAACACTTAACAGGTATTATCCGGAGTTGCCCAAGCTTTGTCTGGTCTTTTCCAGTTTTTTTCCTTTTGTCCTCCCTTTTGTCAAGTTGTGACTGTATTAACCTGAAATAAAAAATATTTAATATATTAAAAAGTCGTCGTTCAAAATGTAGACAAAACGTGAGGTAATTGGACATTATTTGGCCGAGATACTCAAAAAATCATCAAAAATGTGTACTTTACAAACGAATCGGTTTTTGGTCAACAACTTTTTTGAACCGACCGATTTGTAATTGAATACCATTTGTTTGAATACCATTTGATAGTAGGGATCCGTACGAATTGAAAAATGTATAACATTTGAAAATCAGACAACATTTACCGGAGATATTCAAACAAAATCATCAAACAAGTAAGAGGTTCTAGTCGGGAGCTCCCAATTAGGCGATACCCTGAACCCTCTCCTTCCAACATCAAATGCATATATATTATATTTTAGAAGCTATATGTCAAGTTTGGTGACTCTACATTTAGAATTTGGGCAACAAAACGATCGTATTGGTAAGTTGGCTGGAAATTTAATAAAAATTATATATTTCAACTTTCTCTTTTGTTATCAGGTCCGCTCTCAAAAGATCATGGACGCCATGATTCTTTTTGACATGGGAGAAATCGATATGCAGAGCTTTTTGACTCGATTTTCAAGGCAGGACCTGTTTGACTGGGATGATGAATCAAATATTTCCGGAATTTTGCCTGAAATGAAATCTTCCACAACGTCACTTTCCTCGAATGCTTCAAATTTAAGACATACCATAAATGGAACAATGATTCTTTAAATTAAAAACTAAACCTAAGTGCCCGAGCTGTAAACAAGAAGTCAAAGAGGCAATAAGTTAAGTTTTTATTTACACCTAAAAACTGTAAAACCAACAATAGGTTATGGCAAAAAGCTAATAAAAAAAAGGATTAAATAAAAAAAAATTTTTAAATGTCTTTGTTTTTACTCTGGTTAAATTAAACAGTTGCGAGAATTAAGAAGAAGCGATAACGACGATGTTGAGAGGGCTCAACTACGCGATTTGGAATCACCAGATTTATCAGTTTAAAATGAGCGGCGGAGATATGTCGTTTCAAAACGTCATATCTCCGCGGAATTTTGTCGTTTTCAAACGTCATATCTCTGCGCGGAATTATGTCGTTTCAAAACGTCATATCTCCGCGGAATTTTGTCGTTTTCAAACGTCATATTTCTGCGGGAAATTATGTCGTTTTCAAACGTCATATCTCCGCGGAATTTTGTCGTTTTCAAACGTCATATTTCTGCGGGAAATTATGTCGTTTTCAAACGTCATATCTCCGCGGAATTTTGTCGTTTTCAAACGTCATATCTCTGCGCGGAATTATGTCGTTTCAAAACGTCATATCTCCGCGGAATTTTGTCGTTTTCAAACGTCATATTTCTGAGGGGAATTATGTCGTTTTCAAACGTCATATCTCTACGCGGAGTTTTGTCGTTTTCAAACGTCATATCTCTGCGCGGAATTATGTCGTTTCAAAACGTCATATCTCCATGCGGAATTTTGTCGTTTTCAAACGTCATATTTCTGAGGGGAATTATGTCGTTTTCAAACGTCACATTTTTTTAAATGTCTTTGTTTTTACTCTGGTTAAATTAAACAGTTGCGAGAATTAAGAAGAAGCGATAACGACGTAGTTGAGAGGGCTCAACTAAGCGATTTGGAATCACCAGATTTATCAGTTTAAAATGAGCGGCGGAGATATGTCGTTTCAAAACGTCATATCTCCGCGGAATTTTGTCGTTTTCAAACGTCATATTTCTGCGGGAAATTATGTCGTTTTCAAACGTCATATCTCCGCGGAATTTTGTCGTTTTCAAACGTCATATTTCTGCGGGAAATTATGTCGTTTTCAAACGTCATATCTCCGCGGAATTTTGTCGTTTTCAAACGTCATATCTCTGCGCGGAATTATGTCGTTTCAAAACGTCATATCTCCGCGGAATTTTGTCGTTTTCAAACGTCATATTTCTGAGGGGAATTATGTCGTTTTCAAACGTCATATCTCCGCCGCTAAAAAAACGAAAATCAGACTTTTTCCAAGAGAGTCGATTTCTAACGGCATAATCTCGCGCAGATCAACGTCGTATATCTATGCGCGGAATTATGTCGTTTTCAAACGTCATATCTCCGCCGCTAAACAAACGAAAATCAGACTTTTTCCCCGAGAGTCCTTTTCAAACGTCATATTTCTGAGGGGAATTATGTCGTTTCAAAACGTCATATCTCCGCGGAATTTTGTCGTTTTCAAACGTCATATTTCTGAGGGGAATTATGTCGTTTTCAAACGTCATATCTCCGCCGCTAAACAAACGAAAATCAGACTTTTTCCCCGAGAGTCCTTTTCAAACGTCATATTTCTGCGGGAAATTATGTCGTTTTCAAACGTCATATCTCCGCGGAATTTTGTCGTTTTCAAACGTCATATCTCTGCGCGGAATTATGTCGTTTCAAAACGTCATATCTCCGCGGAATTTTGTCGTTTTCAAACGTCATATTTCTGAGGGGAATTATGTCGTTTTCAAACGTCATACCTCCGCCGCTAAAAAAACGAAAATCAGACTTTTTCCCCGAAAGTTGTTTTCTAACGGCATAATCTCGCGCAGATCAACTGCGAAGCAATGTCGACTCTTTCGAATTACTCACCTTAACTGCCCAAAAAATTCCTCATAAATAAAAACATCAGAATTGATTTATTTTTCAATGTATTTATTTTCTTTCAAAACATCGTATTTTCATTGCTTAATTATTATTTATATAGTTATTTAAACAAATATATGTTTTACAGCATTTGAATATTTAGTTCTTATTTCATGTATCTACACTTAGCGGGTATTATCCGGCGTTGCCCAAGATAAGGCTTGTCTGGTCTTTTCCAGTTTTTTTCCTTCTGTCCTCCCTTTTGTCCAGTTGTGACTGTATTTACCTGAAATAAATAATATTAAATATATTAAAAAAAAGTCGTCTTTAAAAAAATAAAGAAAAAGTGATATAATCGGACATTATTTGGCAGAGATACTCAAAAAAAAAAAGGTGTACTTTACAAACGAATCGGTTTTTGTTCAATAACTTTTTTGACCCGACCGATTTGTAATGCCAATTGTTTGAATGCCAATTGATAGTAGAGATTCGTACGAATTAAAAAGGTATAAAATTTAAAAAGCAGACAATACTTACCCGAGATATTCAAAAAAAAAAATCATTAAAAAAGATTCGATTTTCGAACCGACCCCGATTTTGAAAAAAATAACGTGATGTAACCCCTTGCAATTTTGACGATTTGGGTCAAAATTTAGATGTTCACCTCTTTAACCTAAACGACTTAATTTTCGACCGATCGTTTCTATGGCAGCTATATGATAAAGTGTTCCAAACCAGCTGGTTTTGACATATCTACTGCTTGCAACAGAAAGAGATACTTCTGCAAAGGTTAATAAAGATAGCTTTAAAACTGAGGGACTAGTTCGTATAGAAACAGACAGTCGGACAGATGGAGAGACGGACAGACGGAGAGACGGACATAGCTGTTGATGCTGATCAAGAATATATATACTTTATGGGTTCGGAGATGTCTCCTTCTATGCGTTACACATTTCCCGACAAATATATAATACCCTCTGCAAGGGTATTTAAAGGGCAATCGAAGACAAGCTCACGAGGCAAGAGTTTGAGGTCAAGGTCAATTAATTTGGCAGAACGTGGACGAACTATGTCTATAAAATCTAAAGGTGGTTGACAGTCTATTTGGAAATAAACGAAAAACTTATTAAGTAGGCTATGAATTCTGACTCAAATTGATTTTCAAGTTTTTCCGAACAAGACTGTGGAGTTTCCAGAAAATAATCATTAGTTCTCTGTCTTTCAAACCTTTCGCTTCGACTGGCTTCTAAATTTTTACGACAAAATTTATATATTTTTTCAAGTTAATCTTCATCTAAACCAAGTTACATCAAAATGTGCGGAGGTGGTTGTGGTCCATGCGGAGGCTGTGGTCCCTGCGGAGGCTGTGGTCCATGTAATCATTGGCCATGTTGTGGCCCGCACAGTCCGCCATGCGGTGCGCCTTCACCCATCCCTTGCTCGCCTGCGCCAGGCGTCTGTTGTCCACCACTGCCCGAGGGTGGCATTCCCGACCCACGTGTCTGGAATTGTTGGAATACACCACCAACCTATCCATGTAAGTTGGCGCGCTCCTCTGTCTTCATTTCAAATTAAGAAACGAGGCACCCTGTGTCTGCGCTGCATAATGCAGGGCTGCTTGCTACAACACGCCACCGAGATTATTAATTGTTCTCTTAACCCACAGGTGGCTTTTGATTAGCCAACGTGAAGAGGCCGTGCAATAGATAGTTCGGTGTTGTGTATATAACAGAAAGGGGTCAAGTCCACAAACCCATTGGATGGATGGTTGTAGTTGTGAAACTTTTTGATTGGCACAAATTTGGAAGCAAGTTGAACGTAGAAAGATAAAATGACTCTATGAAGATTCAATTCGATCCAACAAGAAGACTGAGCTATTCGCAGAAGACTTTGGATTTGTTCTGCAACTATGGCGCTTCGAATCGCTGCTATATCGTTTACTGATGCAGAATTCTATACTTCGGGACTCGAAGCGCTAAAGAGTTGGTAGAAATTCTACGAATGCGACCTGAGCATGAAACAAATCTAAACTATTCTTTGAATTTTAAAGATTGTAAATTCAAAATTTTTCAGTTACTCAAAAATATGGACTCCTTTTGAACTTTTGGCAAATTATATTTTGGAATCAAAACACGGATTTAATCTAGGGGGTAAACGGGGGGAAAAAATAAAATAAAATGGAAAATCTGAAGAGCGTGGCAAAATTAATTCGAATGCCAGTCTGGCGATTTAGCAAGCGCCTGTTTTCTGGTATTTACTTGATTTTTTCGTAAACACTCTCTGGTCACACTTATTTGGCATGATAAAAGTAATTTCGTAATCGATTGATAAATTGCCATTGAACTGCAATTTGAACATGCAATTTTAGCAAAATATCAATGACAGGACAAACATATTTGAAGAATGTCTTTTTGCTTAAACTTAAGATTATATGTTTAATATTTACACTGGGGGGTAACAGACGACTATTTGTTGGCCATATCCCTTGACATTTGCTCCGTCTCTAAATCCAAAACAACATTTGTCAATAGTTTCTTTGCCTTTATCTGGAGATCCCGATCCAGGCGTGTTATGCTCTGTACGATGAAGTTGCCATAATGAAACAGCTCGCTGGGCTCCGACGTGCTCCTCTCCACGGCTGGTGCTATGCTATTAACTGCGGTAATATTCAAGGCGCCATCATTGGAGGCACGCGCTCTTTTTGCCGATTGCGGCGATTCAGCATTTGCTGCAGAGGTCGTATCGGGGAAACTGGTTGAAGCGGGTTTTGTTGCGGCGGGTACTTCCTCCTGTTCCTTCTCCCACTCGGTTACGACGGGCGGGCTCTCAATATCGTTTGCATAGAATGAGTCTTCGGTGTGAAAGCTACTCTCGTCCGATATCTCCAATTTCTGTTGAATAGAATAGGAAGACATTAAGGCAACAGTTGTATTGGCAACGCACTCACACATACGCTAACGCTGCTTCTGGTTGAGGTATTTGGACCAGGCCTGGAAGTAATCAACTGTAGCAGAAAATCCATCTTGGATTTATTCTTCCAATCATCAAGTGCACTTTTTTGATACATATACTTGTAATAGGATTTCAGATTGTTCCATTTTCTGCACACATCCGCTGTAAATGAAGTGCATTATTGCCGCAACTCCCCATAGATGATATTGCCAACAGATACATACCTTGTGTTACTGGGGTATTTGGCTTGTATTTGGTGTTAATGTCCTCGGTCAATTTCACCCAGAAATCGTTCTTCATGGGCCTCACCTTGTATAGAGGGTTCGCTGGGTTCCACAGATATTCTTCGGCATGCACTCTCTCGATAATAAACTCAGTTACCTCGTCGGTAAATGTGTATTGTAACATTTTTGCACGATTTTGTTCGTTTATTTATCGACGATTTAATTATTGCACATCAAATATGCAAGTGCTAAGCGTCTTCATTAGTTGGTTTGTTGAAAAAAGTGCGACAGAATGTGTGTGCGACAGGGTCAGCATGACATATTTGCGGATTTCTAGCTTTAGCTAGCATGGTCACACTCAATGTACAAATTTGAATGGAAATGTTTGTAAATTACAACAAATAAACTTTTAATAACAAAAACAATTGGTTTATGTCCATATATTGTTGTTATTAGCTATTAATGGATTGGTGAATAGAGTACTTTATATATGTATATATCTTTCTTCATATTTATTTGAATAATAAACAATGCCTGATACTGATTTTAGATTTTTTAATTGACGTCTTCATTTAAATTAACAAGGTAATTAATTTGAAGATCCGTAGTTTTTTGTTTGTATATAGAAATGAGATCGAATATATGGAAAATGCATAAAGTTGGCCATGACTTGATATTCAACTTTTTGACCATGGGGCTGTGAGCCTTCCAGGTAAAGTCATTAGTTTTCTGGATTTCGGACCATTCGTTTCGGCTCGCTTCTAAATTTTTTATCAAAATTCAAAATTTCCCTTAAAATTTAACAAAGTAAGTTTGTGTAATTTTAAGTGAAAAATAATACATTTCAATAATTTGGGACTTATAACTAATGAGATTTGTTATTGTTATTTTTTATCATGTAGAAATAAAAATTTAGGATGTGTGACCCATGTTGCGGACCTTTTGAGGTAAGTATTTCCCTGTGTGTGTGTGTGTGTTAGCCGCTATTCTGGCAGTGCGTGTATTCGTGCACTCGACAAGGATATGCATAGCGAGACTTAAACCCTATCGCCAACAATACTGCCGCAGGCTGAACCACGCATTCCGCCGCCCTGTCCAAAGAGCGTCACAGTGCAGCAGCCGCCGCGGCTGATATGCAAAAAGGATGTTGTCTTTTGCGAGAAAACGATTCCAGAGCCGATGGTCGTGAATCGCTGCAGGAACATTACCGTACCCAAGGTTGTTGAAACGACGCGTGTGATACAGGTGCCCAAACTCATATGGGTTTCGCAGATGGTTCGCGAGCCAAGGGTCATCTACTATCCATCGACAGTACCAGATCCGTATGTGATGTGTCATCCAAAGAAAGTGTGCGAGCCGCGAGAGGTTTGCCAGACGCTGCTCTGCCAGCCAAAGCCGCAGATCATTGACGTACCAGCGCCCACTGAGTACTGCTGCTATGAGAACGGGCCGGTTGGCTACACGGCCAGCCATTCGTGTTCACCATTAGGCGGAAATGGATGCTGTTCGATGTCAGCCTTTGGCACCCAGCAGTATCCTATGAGTGAACTGCCTTGCGGACCCTGTGGGCCCTAAATTGGCGTCTCTATGGTCCAGCACTGGGTGCTGAATTTCCAACGAACTGTCAAAGTGAGCAACATTGATTGCACATGCTTTGATACGTGAGCGATCGGAGCGTTGCAACCAATTGTTGCTCGCCTTGATGGAGGAGTTGATTGTTGGCGCATATGTTTGATCCTTGTCAGTTATAACGAATACACGCATCAAGCAATCTTAAATCCTAATGCATTCTCTCTCCCCTTCAATCTTATCTGCAGCCCAGGGGCTGTCGGAGTCGGGAACTACGCTGTGGCATCCTCTATACGTCCTGTGACTGCGTCAAGCGTAATGGCCTGCAGGACAAGTGCCCGAGGGCGGCATGTCAAGGACGGCCAGCATGTATGTGCTTCCCGTTCCCCACCTGTGGACCTGCCTCGTTCCCGCTGCGCTTCGCCAACATGACCATGGGCGTCAACAACAAGCGTATGCGATGCGCCGCCACTGCGGCGACTTGCGCAGGTGGCGGTGGTCTAGCCCGTGCCTGTGGTGGCTGTTGCGGAGGTAATTAATCCTAGGCCTGGGAATACTTTATAGTTATAGTAAAAATCTCAATTTGAAATTCATTTAAAGGCTGCTGATCTTGGCCCTGGAGTTACATACCATGCACCCTGTGTCTGGTGTGCATAAGCAAGGCTCACTGCTACAACACGCCATTGGGTCCGCACGTCTAGTTGCCGTCACAATCTCCATCTAATCACAAGATGTTAACTTTTAAGGAAATTGATGCGTAAATTTACTATCCAACCCTGTACCCCGTACATCCTGTCGAAGCTCAAGTGAGTACAGCTACAATCCTTGGGGCTGTGTTCACTTCATTTTCGTTCTACTCTCCAGGTTGTTTCTGCGAAGCAAAAGTCTTGTCCAGATATTGTTTGGTGTTCTTGTGTAACAAAAGCAGATCCATGTCCAGAACTATACAGGACGCAGCTGGTGGATGTATTTGCGTACTGAGGGGTTGGTACACATTTAGAAGCAGTTGAATATGAAAAATTAATGGCACTACTGGGAAAATTTGGCAAAAAGAGAGAATGAACTAATCACAGAAAACTGAGATATTGCGGGCAACTACGTGATGCTTGTGGAATGTAAATCTTTAGGACGAATTCGCGATGCAGCGATGCGGCCTGAACATAAAACAAATCTCGAGTTCTTCGAACTAGAAGTAATTGTCAAATTATAAATTTAAAGTTATTACGATAAAAGCAATGACTTTTCGGACCCAAGCTCGGACTTTGGGCTAAATAAAGTAAGAAATATTGCAAAATGTTGTACATTTTCTCGGATATGAATGAGAGCAAGGCTTTATAAATATATTGCTTACTTGCAGTGGTTCCTTTTTCCAGTGCAGCGAGCATTTTAATTAGTTTAAAGAATTCAATGTTAAATGCGTGAAAGTTGCTTACTAATTTCCAGTGTGACCGTTTGCAACCGATGAAAAAATACACAAAATGGCTTGCCAAACAGAATATACCAAAAAATTGTCTGCACTTTTAACGATAGTATTACAATGGTCACACTCCGCTTCGTTCAATGGGTGCTACCAATTGCACGTTTCGTTAAGATTGCGCGGGAATTTAAATTTGAATTTGAATGCACAAATTAAATTAAATTACGTTAAAATATATAGGACATATAAGCATGTCTGTAAATTGGCAATTATTAAACATTTTAGCAATTTAATTTGATGCAATATTGGCATTAACTTATATTTATTAGAATAATCAATTATATACAACAATTTAATACTAATTCGTGTTTTATGCGTTCGTCTTTTATATGTTTATGTTAAATTTAATAGCTAATGGATGGAATGCTTTAAGTTTTCTGCATAAAACAACGTGGGGCGTTCGTCTCTCGTTCGTCGGCTAACATAATCTCGTCTTTAAAAGTAATGTATGCAAACTAAATACTAACGTTGCGAAACTGAGTTGGAAATGGAGAATAAGGGAAGCGGCTGTGAGGCCGGTGCATTACATGGCCGTCTCCAAGGGCTGGCTATGGCTGCGTCCATTGGCGTGGAGCGGCACCAGGCCACCCTCGCCGGCCTCGCTATCAAAATCCGTCTCGAGCAGCGCCTCCGACTTGGAGCGGTGATAGGGATTGGCAGTGGCCAGCGCTGTTGGCGACCTGGGCGACCTGGGCGACCTGGGCGACGTGGACGTTGTGGGCGACGCTTCCTGCGCTGCCGTTTGGTAAACAGTCTTTGGACGCGATGCGTGTACTGTGGGCGCCGCCGGTGGCTGGGCCAGCGGCCTGGGCGTGCGATAATGTGATGTGGGCGCCTTGCTGCTGCGCACTGCCGTATAGTAGGAGTCCGGACGCCGCATATCCGCAGGTGATGCTTGCTGCGGCACGGCGGGCGCCGGACGATATAGCGATGACTCTGTGGAGAAGTTGAACTGGTCCAGCTTCTGGTCGAAGGGCAGCGAATCGCCGCTGCTGCGCTGCGGCAAAAAGCTGCTGTGCGAGCTGCGCTGATATTCCGGCAAATTCTGCTTCAGCTCGCTGAGAAAGGCCAGACCCGGCTGGCCACGGCGTCCGCCCACGCTGCTGCTGCCCGTATCCGTGCGCAGCGGCAGTGTGCTGGCATTGCCATAATAATCCGAGCCCAGCTCATCGGCCTCCGCGTCCGTCTGGTGTATGATGGGCGTGTCCTCCGCCACGCTGGTGCTGATAGAGTTGGCGCGCGTGCCGCCGCCATAGGTCGAGTTGTCGCGGAAGCCCTCGTTGCGGTAGCTCAGCTCAAAGGCATCCGGCTCCAAGGCGGCGGCTGCTGCCCGGGCGCGATGTGCACTGCCCTTGGATATGGTGGCCACCTTGTGTGGCTGCTGCTGCTGCTGCTGCTGCTGATGATCCTGGGCGGCAGGCCGGAGTGCATTCTGGTTGACGTACTCATTGTAGTGGGGCTTCTGGTCGTAGCCCTCGAAGCTGCCCGCCTCCGAGCTGAGCACGCTCTTGTCCATGGAGTCGATGGAGCCATTGGCCACCATCATCTGCTTGTAGTCCTGGCTCTTGGACAGGGTGCCATTGCTGGACATGTTCTGAGGCAACAAAAGAAGAAACAGAAAAGCAAAAGGAAAAATAAAAGCAAATGAAAAACTCAACTAAAGCGAACTCAAGATGCATTAAAAGATGCGGAAATCATACATAATTGGGACGACGACGCAGGGATCCTTGCGGATCGATGCTGTTGAGGCTGCGAAGGCTCTGGCGAATGCTGTTGCGTCGCTGCAGGCGCTGCACATGCCGATGCTTGGACTTGGCGAACCAGCAGAAGGCCACCAGAATGAGCAGAATGATGGCCAGGACAAAGGCCGAGATAATACTTATGGCAAAAATGTCCGCGCGCCACGACAACGGATCGATGATGACCTGTAAGCAGGACAGCAACATAAATATATATAACTACATTTAACACTAAGCAATTCCAACTTACTCTCGGATCCATTTCACAGATAAAGCCGCGCTCCTTGTTGCAGTCGCCCACCTCGACCTCATTGAAGACAAAGCTCGTGCAGCGCTCGATGTGATTGTAGTCCTGTATCCAGACCTTCTCCGGGTACTTGAGATGCCGCATCTGGCTCTGCAGATACTTCCACAGTGTGGTGCTGTCGGTGCGTATGAAGGGCATGGTCGAGTTCTCTGATCGACAGAAATCGCGCGCCTCATGGAAGGTCATCGGCGCGCCAACATAGATGAAGCAGGTGTCGTGCACCAGGGCCCAGCCGGGCGGACACTTGCCGTCCAAAATGGTCTCGTTGTTCATTTGGAACGGCACGGCCAGCACCTCCAGCAGCATAGGGTCATCTGCAAACGAAAAGGAATTGTAGGAGCCATAAATAGGAACCTAGTTGCTAGATCCTACCGTGCTTATCCCTAATGCGCGACTGCACCGAGATGGTGTTGTTGTAGCTCCAGTAATTGTGACGTGCGTCTATCTTGGAGCTCCAGGTTTCGAAGGTCCTTAGATGAGATTCAATAGGCAACGATAAGTATTTGTATTTTTTCTTATGTGTATTATGTGCTTACCTGTTTTCATAATCAAAGCTCATGCTAGGTGTTGAGGAAGAGCGAGGGGAAAAAGAAAAGGGTGTAGAGTAGAAAGTTAGATAAAAGTGGGTTGAATTTTACATTGAGAATGTGAAACGTAAATCCACTGCCAAGTGAAAAACCTTCTAACCAAAGTTGATAAATCTCATTTCCATTTAGCTTAAGGAATACTTATAGGAATATTATTTATTTTATTTTATGATTTATTATTATTTACGCCCTTACTTTGATCTTGCGGAGCTTTGCAGTTGGGCTTGGGTACAGACTAATCGACTAATAGGACACACTGACTTACATGGAATTGTTGACTGTCAGCAGCTCGTAGTCATTCTCATAGTTCTCGAATATGTTGTCCACGTACTGCTGACCCGCGGTGCCTGCCACAATGGTTGCTCGAGACATCCAGTTGGTGGCCACATTCCTGGAACAAAAAGCATATTGAAATCATTTCTAATTACGTTTTTTTTTTTTTGCCATTTACCTGTAGAAACCATTGTGCGCCGTTGTCTGGTAGATCTGCAGACGCACCTTCTCGAAGCCGGAAACCTCCATGATGCGACCGCCCACATTGCTGTGCACGTAGTTGTAGCTAAAGTTGGACACGACCTGGCAGAGTCGAATGACCTCCTCGTAGCCGGCCATGTTCTGGGCGAAATAGTTGCGATACAGCTCAACCTCCTGGTAGGGCGACGACTGACGACCCTCCACAAACAAGGCGGGACGATTGCGATTCCGCATGAACAGATTGTGATGCACAAAGCCACGTAACGAGGTCGCGGTGCCGCGGGAATCAGCACGTATGCGCAGCCCACCCTGATTCTCCAGCAGCAGATTGTTCTAATAAAACAAGAGATATTTGATTTAGTGCCTGCATATCTAAGCTGATAGGTTGAGGTTAACCGACCATAAAATATAAGGAGTTCATGTTCTGCACATCCAAGTTGAGCGCCGAGGCGCAGGTGGAGAAATTGCCATAGAGCTGCTTGCAGTTCCTCTCGATGCGATTGCCAATGAGCGTCAGCGTTGGCGTGACCTCGCCCGCCGAGGCATAGCTGACGGCACCCTTCATGGCACCCGAGATGTGCGTGTCCGTGATGTTGTGCAGGGCATCGCGATCTGTGGAGTAGAGCAGGGT